GAGCAAATTTCTCTGTTCACTACTCCAAAATCAAGACACAACAATTGGCTTTACTGGACTGCAACAGGATGGACACCACTTCTAAGCAAGCAAAGCATAAGTGCTCATCACTTACATAGTATTTGAGGTTGAATAAAGAAATCAGTCCATCAAGTCCAACCCATAGGATCTTATTCCTAGGAGTACTACTTGTACCCCTGTATATTACGGTCCCTTAAGAAATCGTCCAAAAGTTTCTTGAACAATTCCACATTCTTTGCTAAAATCACCGCCTGTGGAAGTGAGTTCCAGACCTTGACCGCTCTAACTGTGAAGAACCCCCTTCACCCCTTGTGCTGGAACCTCTTTTCCACCAATTTTAGGTGGTGGCCTCTAGTTTTTGTAACAGAGTTAATTTTAAATAGTTTATCGCTAATGTTGCTAGCACCATTGAACATTTTGTACATGGAAATCATATCCCCCCTTAATCTCCTCACCTCCAATGTGAACATGTTTAAATTTAGTAGCCTCGTCTCGTAGCTCTGGTCCTCCATACCCCTAATTAGTTTGGTTGCCCTCCACTGGACTTTTTTTTGTTTGTTTAAAAAGCATCTGGAATTTTGGAAACATATCACAATACCCTATAAACTTAGATAAATCTAAAGCTTTATACCTAAAAGTATAAAACCATAATGGAGCTCACCCTATTCTTTTGTCTGGTTTAAGGATACAATTCCCTACTTGGCATTCAATATTTCTAAAAATATCGTTAAATTATACTGAGTTAATATCCCTCCTGTGCTGAAAGCAATAAGGATTGCCTTAGGAAATGGTTTCATATTAACCTAATGTTTTCGGTAAGAATTAACCTAATAAAAATGGTAGTATTCCTCCAACAACCAACTAAATATAGATTTGTCACACAGCAGCCAGGGCCAACATTTACAAAGACTAGTCAGCTAAAGAACTCAAGTTAATAAAATGTCTTAAACCATTAGAACAAATAAGGAGAGAGAGAGAGCAAGAGAGAGAAAGAGAGGGAGAGAAAGACAGAGAGAAATAGACATAAATACACACACAAGATCATATGGGAATCCCTGAAAATTGGTACAACAGAATAGAGCAACAGAAAATAAAGATAACAAGAGAGGGAGAATAAAACAGAAGGGGGAGACGTGTGTGTGCGCATGTGCATGAACCTGCACACTGTACAGAAATGGTGGACGGAAGGGTGGGGGACCAGGGAGATTGGATCTATGTTTCCATTACCCGCAGACCCATCGAGCATACAAGATGTTATAACATGGCATAAGGATAATGCAATGGGCCAAATCTAAAGTTTGGTCATTGTGGTGTAAAGTGATCACAAATGGCCCAATCATCAGCATAATTATCACCCAATCTTCCAAAAAAAACTGGCCAGGCAAAAGACTGTTACTGTTAATGTCATAAAATACAGCACAGTACAATGGATGGCTGAGTTACGCTGTAATATAAATATGGCAGCAATGGAGGTGGGGGCAATGGTTGCTATGGGTTACCTGGTATTATATGTGTGTGTAACATATGCATTGCATTTGTCGCTGAGTCGGCATGTGAGGCCTTGAAACGCTAGCATGGCAGCTTGGACTGTTTACAATAAATCTCTGAAATAAACTTCTTGGCGTGGTGATGACTTTCTGCTAGAGTCTAGTTATACAGGCATCCCCTGGTGTTATAGGTCCAAGCACTATAGGGACTGTGTAGCTCTAGTGGGGACTTTTTTTTTTTCTTTCACCAAGTTAATCTTTGCCACATATATAGACTCAGACAAAAAGTGAATCTTTAGAGTCTGGGTTACACCACAGGCTGTGCCATAGTCCTGGACCTGGAGAGCACCCTGTAGCTAACACAGTATATTTAGAACTGGAAAGCACCAAAAAGCAGAGCCCAGTGCCCAAAGGTCACATTCTATGCTTGCCCCAAAATCTTCAGTCCAGCAAGGTCCAAGTACAGCCTCTAAAGATGTTTCTGAGGAGCCACAGATCTGGATAGTTGCTGTGTAGAGACTGACTTAAGCGCCATGTTTGACTGAAGTTAGCAAATATAAAACTACAGTATCCAAGGTGTAATAAATATCTTAATTGAAGAGAAAAGTCACCGTAAAAAAATATATAATTTGAGTTTTCGACAGCTGAGAGAAAAGACACCCAACCTACTAGCACACTAGCTTACAAACTGAGGGATGATTTTTGGAGAAGCGATTATATTTGGGCTGGCTATACATTTTGCCAGTGTCCAAAGCTCCTGTAGGTGGCAGTGTAACCCATATGTCCAAGAATTACTACAATCCTGTGTCCCTCAGTAGAAGATAAAGAAAAGCTGTTACCTGACACAGTAATAGGTAAAAGAAAGAAATTGTGCTGGGACAGGCTCTAAAGAAGGCTTTCTCAGCCAGGGTTCCTACTGAGGGTGCTAGGGGTCCCTTGAGCAGTGAGCAATGAATCTCCCACCTAAAAGATAATGTTGCTGTATTAAGCAGGGGAGAAGTTAAAAATGAAAAACAAACAAATATCTGCTCTGGGTATAAATTAATTAAAACATTTTCTACAACCTATTGATCATACTAATGTACCCGAGAACTGGAGGCATAATCATATTTAGCAGAGGTTCCCTGAAAACTGAAAATAATTTAAGGTAAAAACAAAAAGTTGAGAAAAGCTGCTCTAGAGGAAAGTTTGGGGGTAAATTTGGGAAATGCCTACATATACAATTTAAACATGACATATTTCAGCAAATTGTAAAGCACAACCCCTATTTATTCGCAGAGTATAATACACTGACAAAGTTAAAATATAAAATGTGACATGCATCCATTGGGCACCCTTCCAGTTAATCTACTAGTGCTTTGTTTGTAAAATGTCAAAGCTTAATTGATATTTTGGGCCTTTATCCAAGCAAGGTGAAGACAGCTCCAGAGCTTAACAATTTGGTGAAGACAGCTCCAGAGCTTAACAATTTAACTAACTCAGAAAGAAGTATTGCACTTAGGCACCTCTAAGCAGTGAGGATTTCAAAATAAAGATAATTACAAAGTAAGGGAAGTCTATAAAAAGATATCTAAACAATTCCTGTTTGCAGAAAGCAGACGTGGAGCCTGTGTCAGGCAGCCCATTATTCAAGGCTTGTGACATTATCAGGAACGGAAGAGAATGTCAACACGGTGCACAGCCATGTACAGGACGGGCAGGTGGAACAAGGATTTCTGCTATGAAAAAGTAAGTATCTATATTTATAATCTGACAGCGTATTGTCTGCTTATTGCAGACCCATGCTGATGTGTACCTTTACTTATTAACAATTTATTTGTTTAAGCAAAATTTGGAAGAAAAGAAGATGAACACCACAAATAAAGCAGCATAACCAAAGCATACATTATCAGTTTTAAATATCATCTTTCACCATGTTTCTATTACCCATATTTTGTCACTAAACCTTACATACAATTACATCTTAATCCACTATACAGCACAGTCATTTATTATAAACTGCAAATTACTGTAACCTATGGTTCTTTGGTCTTATAAATCTTGTCTTTTTGTGCCCCCCATGGAGGCTCTTTTCCCTTTACTTCTACTATAGAGGTACAAACAGTGCATGTATATTGCAGTCACATGCACCACTCTCGTCATACAAGAAATCCCAGCAATCCCTACTGATTCTACAGCACATGTGCCCCCATTTTCAAGTATTCGTGCTGGTACCATGTGAATATCGATTTTATCAATAAGCAGTTTGCTCTGCTTTTATGTGCCAGAACTGGCTATATGGCAGGATTTACTGTAGTCTCAGAAGCACACTGTGCAGGGTGGCTATATTCCCACATGCAGTGGGACGATTTAGAACGAACATAGCCCCCGGGTCACGTAGGAAGTTTAATGTATTTTTTGTGCTCTGCTTTTATGTGCCAGAACTGGCTATATGGCAGGATTTACTGTAGTCTCAGAAGCACACTGTGCAGGGTGGCTATATTCCCACATGCAGTGGGACGATTTAGAACGAACATAGCCCCCTCACGTAGGAAGTTTAATGTATTTTTTTGGATTTGCTGTCTGACGCTGCCATTAGTAGTGACACACATGACTACAAATAAAAGTTTTTATATATTGGGCTTATTGACATACTAATCCTTTCAAGATCAGAGATCATTAATGCCTAAAATATTTTTATAGGACATAGAGTACTTCTTAAACTCTGGATTGTCAGAAAAAAAAAATAGCTAGAGAGGTTTTTTTGTGCACTGAAAAAGAAATACACCAGCAGCTGTCAAGATGGCTGTTTACAAACAATACCATGTGACCTCAGCTCTCAGCCTCAGCGTCCTCACATCTAATGCAAGTCAATGGACGTGCATTCGATGTGATAACGTCAGTGGTCCTTAAAGCGCCAAAGCCCATGGTTCGATGGCCGCCTAGCTGCCCGGCTGGACCAGAGGATCAGGTAAGTATATTTGCTTTATTTGACTCCCCATACAAAATTAGCATTTAAGCCTTGCAGTGCAGAGGTAGCCCTACTACAAGGGTAAATTTTTTTTAATTCATGGAGTTCCTCTCTAAGGCTGGGTTCACACCATTTACCAGACCAGATCTGAAACATAGTGCATTGCGTTTTTACCGCAATTGGAATTTTTTTTTTTTTTTTTAGCTTAACCCGTTGCACACCGCGGGTTTAAACCCCTTTTTTACAGGTGCCTTCCTTGCATTTTTTATGTGTTTTTATGTGTTCCAGTGCATTCCAGACCAGACAAAATAGGACAAGAAGTGTTTTTCTGGCCTGGTCTGGAACGGATCAGGAATACACAATCAGGCCTATTCTATAAAGAAACTACCAGAAGAAAAGTGCTAGTGCCACACTGGTCCTTGTAAAGAATAAGCCTAGGTGACTTAAATCACTCTTAAGTTTATGGAACATTTATTTTCATTTAATGATTTATACTGTATACTATCTGCCACATTGGATTGCTCTTTAGGAGTTGTACTTACTGTAATAACCAATTAAGACTGTATTTTCAATCTGAAATCGCGTGGCATTATTTTCAGCCCATTCCTAAAGACAAAAAGAAACATTCAAATATTGGATCGCTGTAAATAACACTTTGTATTTCTTTTTATAGTATGCCAGTTTTCCAAATAGTGTTTTTCCACACCCATTCATGAATATGTCTGAATCAATGGGTTTTATTGCGAAAATATATACACCTGCAGCAGCTGAAAACATGCACAACATCCTCGGAAATTAGTTATCAACCCATTCATACTTTTGTTCTTTATAAAATGCATTTTGAGGGATTATTTATGTATTGTGCTATAGAAAAATATGCAATATGTTTTACAAGTATTTGACTTTGGTGTATACCAATTGGAAAAAAGAAATGCGTGATGCGTTCGTATTTTAAATGCTTTAAGAAAGCTACACAATTGCAAAAATTCAAGAACTGTAGATAAAACAAAGTGTCTGTGTTGACGGGTTTCAGAACTGCTTCTCTTCCCATACAAGTGTATTGGAAATCAAAGTCAGCTTGAAGCAGCTAGCATACACTTGTCAATAAATTCTGAATGATCTCAGAAGCAACTCAAACTGAGGTCAAAAGCACACTGCACTTGCCCACAGACACAAACCCAAAGCCCATCATCAAGACTCATCCATACAGAGATGGCTAATGATTATATTTTAGTGTATTCCTCCATTAAAGCAAACTAGACTGAAGTTGGTGATTTTACAATAGGACAGTAAAAATCTCCATTAAGCCAGAAATGTACATAGTGCATGAGGTGAGTGTACTCTGTTAATCACATCTAACTCTCTGCATTCTGTACGAGAAAGAGTTGTCAGTGCTCTTGTATTGTTATTACACACTTTTGTCCAACAGTTAAGTCGTTGGCTTCATAGGATTCTATAAAGCAGACAGCTTCCAATTAACTAAAGCACTGAGAATGGAAGTGTGGGGTAACAGTACCCCATTGTTGACAGCCACTTTCAGACAGATCTTCCAGGTAAAGGATGCAATTAAGGAAGGTCTAAAAATTATTTTTCTTGTTCCAATGGCAGAACAACTGCCACGGAGGATGATCAAGAGAGGAAGGTTGTGCTGAAATGTGGATAGATGTAAGGAATATAAACTACAATGTAATATAAACCCACATTTAAATTAGATGGAAAATTATATAGAAAGCATTAGACATAGCGATCTAAGACAGGAATTTAAAAGAAGAGTATGGTTAAGTATCAGGAGCAGGTCTGGGACCATAAATAATTTGCAATTACCTTTTCCAGTGGCACTGACACTGGTCTGTGATAAAAGCAGCCTCAGTAGACTCTTCTCACAGATATGATAATATATATAGGTTCAAATAGGCAACTTTTGCAGACAGAAAGTAGGTCGAAGTGTTAAGAACCTTTCTTTCCAGGAATTGAAAGATGAAAGGGAGTAAAAACAGACTGAAAGCTTCGAAGATAGATGGGGGTCAAGAATGATTTTCTTACATGTATGTTTTAGTGAGACAGTACCTGAAAGCAGAAAGATAATATAGAATATAAAAAGGTTTTAATGCCTTTAGTCTTACGAGCTGCTTTTTCAACAAAAATACACTGGTCATTACATATACGATCATGCCTATATTACCAGGAGTTTGAGTCCCTGTGCTCTGTTGCTATGCTTAAACAAGGTCACTGCTGTCAGTTATAAGGTGAAAGCACTCAGAGGTGGCTACACATAAAAGCTGTCCATTCTATTATGCACAAATGCCAAACCATTCTGATGGACAAACCTTCAGCACTTCCTGTTAGTGTTGAAGCTTGCTGGCCACTCCCTGCCTCCTGCACATTACTACTGGCAAGTGAGGTAGCCTATGACTGTGATAACCAACAGAAATGTAGGGGAGGGAGTTTCAAGGGAGAACAGCCTAGCATTCAGGCGCAACAGGTACAGAGACCTATACTTTATTTCGGACAGCAGATTCTTTATTTAGGTGTAGTGACAGAACTGTTTTAAAGGATTTATTGTTAGGTTGTTTAAATTAACTTGGAAAGCAGTACTTCTTTCATTCCTCAAGGTTTAGATGTGTTGATAATTTCAAACAAGACAGAAACTTCTGTCCTTCTTTTGTCTTTCTTTAAACTGGACTATCGATGGTAGATGTCAGTAAAGGTAAAAGATAAAGCAAGAGTTGGGAGGAATTTTTCCAGGTGCCGTTTGTACCAATGTCAAGGAGCAAGACATTCATTATGGTGTGCACAAACAAATCCTCTAGCTGCACTTGAATTCTGCATTAGGAACCATCAACTAGGACAAAACCTTATCTCTGTTTTCTGAAGATGGCTTCCACTTGGCATCAAAGGAAAAAAATTCTATCAGCTGCGGGAAAAGTTTCTGTTTGAATTGCAACTTGATCAATGTTCATATTATATGCCAAGATGGAGAGGGGAATGATGCTGTGAAGAATAGGAGGAGGAATAAATTGCAGAATGGCTCAGCAAGATCGAATTTAAATAGAATGTGTATGAACTCAGAATTGTGATTGGGTGCAACATACTTGTTGTGACTGGGTGTAAGAAATTAATGTTCACAATCTTGATGTTGTATGCAAGCTTTTTTACTATCATCTGCTTAATACACTTAGATATACATGCACTAATTTAGAGTATGTTGATAATAACATTATGTTAAAAATAAAAAGGTGCAAGCATGCAGTCTAAGTATGAGAATGTGGGGAAGAGCCACAGCTGAAATCTACACGTTTTACAAGTTAAAGCACAAGGCCACCTTTTTTTAAGGTTTGGAGATAGTAGGAAGGAGTTAAAATTTATTTTTTGGTGCATTTACATGCATATTTGTGCATTCCAGTGCAAAAAAAAAGCATGCTGTACTTTAAAAAAAATTAATAAAAAATAGGATGCCAAAAGGCTGAAGAATACTTCAACAAGCAGACAAAAAGTTAAAAGGAAGGGCAGAACCCGGTCCTAAGACGAAGCTCAGCAAGAGCCGCCAAAATATAAAGGAGCAACAGGCTGGTACCCTGCCCGGGGACCTGAAGGAAAACAAAAGGAAACCAAGCTAACAAAAAATAGCAAACTATAAAGAAAACATACACAGCACGACCCACATTAAGCAAGGAGGAGAGAAATCCTTCAGAGAACAGGAGGCAGAAACAATGAAAAGACACTGTGCCAGGTAAGGCGAAAGCCAAGAACAACATAAAACATAGACGACCAAGGAGAAACGCCCCTCAGAAAAGGAAAATAATGAAGGTGAGATAAAAGAATGTAAGGCCAAGAAAAGGCCCCAGCAAGGCACCCATGCTCAAACACCACTTAAGGTACATACACAACCCCCCACCCCAAAAAAAAAAAAAATCACAAAGACCAAAAACTTTATACCTCACACCTGAACAAGAAATACTTCCATGTGTGCAGCAGACATACAGAAAAGACAGAAACCTGTCTGGAACTGTGCAGGGATAACCAACCCCGACAGACCCCTGAATATAAGATCTGCTCAGCCGTGCAGCCAATGACCATAATGTATGGAAAGAACTAGCAGTTAGAACAGTAGCCCTTAGAACAGTAAAAAACAGGCAATTTGGAACAGCTCATGGAGAGTCTGCCAGAAACTCAAACAGGTCAGAAAGCCACAACGTCTACACTAACCTGAAACTACCACTGAAAACTCCTTCACCTCGACCCTAGATGATAGTAGGCGAGGAAGGGATGACAAAGATACAGATCCTGCAGAATAGATCCAATGGAGTCATTAGATCCCTTAGCAGGGGATTCTATAAACAACTGGAGACAAAACAAGGTAAAACGAGCACTGAGTCTGGATGACTAGCTCCAACGTCTCCTGTCCACAACACTGCAGAGATCACAGCACAGCAGAGGGAGCAGAAACCATGGTCCCAAGTAGGGATGCACAGATACTCTTTGAGTACCAGTGCAGATACTTGGCATTTTCATGAGAACTACCAGGGTTGCAGCTGGGACCTGGCTCTGACGCTCCACCCCTGTACTGAAATCATTAGTCTGTATTGTTTTAGAAAAACTGTCACATGACAATAAACAAAAATGTATCAGTACTCGTACCTGTAAGTACTCGTACTCGCAAAACTGGTATCTGTGCATCCCTTTATTTATATTTATAAAAACAAAATCGTACATTAGAACAGAGATGTACAAATTCCAGGAGCTCCGTGTGCTCCTTACAAATGACAGCTGCCTCGTAATTTTTGAATTTTTCTCTAGTGTAGTCTTGGAGCTCAAAAGTATCGGTACATGTACTCGTTCTTGTACTGAGTACTGTACTTGGTATCTGTGCAACCCTAGTCCCAAGCACAGGCACTGCGGGCTAAGCAAACTGGTAATCCACTGTCCAGCTTCCACACAGTGAGAGCAGGAAGGTAGAATCTGAAAATCCAACTAGACCAGAATCCTCCCCACCGCCTACATCATAGCAAAAATAATTTGGGGTCATCTCACCTCTGACCGGTATTGTGCCAAGGTTTTGTTGCCCTATGCAGGATCTGAGCACACAATCTGGTATTTGCAGACAAGTCACTTCAACGCTGCACCACCATCTGAGGGATCCAAATGCTCCCTAATGACAGAAACCCCAATGCAGGACTCCCAGTCAGAATGGCAAGAGTGGCAGTAGCCACCAAAAACTAAGATCTCCAAACCCAAAATCAGGACATGCTGAGAAGATCCATCCAGTGTCAAGTCCCATCATGCATAGGACCCATCCCCAGACTGACCCACTAGCACGCATAAAAGAGGACCACAGAAATATCAGAGTAACACACTAACCCCAGGGGTGGATCTGCAAGCCAACGGGTCAGGGACAACCTGAACCACAGGAACAGGCAAGTAGATTGTCCATGGAGACAACAGATGCATTCTGCCAAAGGGAGAGGAACTGTAGGGATCCGAAAAAGATAAAAATAATGCCTCAAAAAAGGACCCCCTGGAAGTAATTACCAATCCGATCCAGAACTCTCGTACACAAAATGACAAGTAAGATGACCCCTGAACCACAGAGTCCTAGCATAAAAAACACTGGAAACAGAGGAAGAGCTGGTTATTAGCAGCTGAGGGAAGGGAAGAAGCAGCCATTTAAGTGCTGTGAGCCTTCCAAGGTGCAGGGACAGGAGAGAAGCCTATGGCACAGGCTTCCAGGCCCGAGCGACATAGTGATAGAATGCTATAGAACTCGGAGAGCAACATCACTGTGAGCCTCCTACACAGTACAGAGAATGAACAGAGTGCTAGGCCACCAGATTCTGAGGAGGTCGGAGAGACAGCAGAGGAAGGTTGTTGAAGAACTTGGAGAGCATTGCTACCGAGAACCTCTCCACAGACAGACAGAGAGAAAAAAGGACAGTGGCAGAGGCTTCAATGCCACAGAACACCGATACGGAAGACTCAAGGGAAACTTCCTGGCTCAAACTGTAGCCAGGACAAAATCTAGGCACTCCAAGCATCAACTACTACAGTGCAAAGTTTCAAAGACACATAATGCTAAATGTAACCTACAAGGACTGAACCATTTGCATTGCACCCTGGTCAAACATTATGCAGACTAGGCCTCATCAAAGATCATCTAGCTATTCTACATGGGAATATCTAACAAACCCAGAAAGAAAAACAAAGTACCAAAAAAAAAAAATGGCAAACACACTGGACACGGAGAACCAACAGTAACGCCACCACTAAAAAGTAGAGTGTCCAGAGCCAAATGAGGTACATCAGAAATATGGAGCACAGACAAATTAAAAGGTGCTAAGGCTTCCAGATAAAGTAAGCTATGCCAGTCCAGATTGGTATTAAGGCGAAAACTATGGACTAGACCCATAGGATCAAGAAAAGGGAACGGGTCTTCCCTTTTCCTTATCAGAACTGCAAAAAATTGGAACAAAAAATTGGAACAAAAGACCTGCAAGAACAGCATGAAGGTATGTAAATCCATGTAGGTACCCAGGCAGGTCAGACAAAACAAGAGGGAAGGATCCATAGATCCAAATGCCAGAACCACCCGAGCGGCCACATGGAGCTGCTGCCCCCAGGAGTCCAACATCAGACCTGTGAGCTAGAGACACACAGCCTCCTGATTGACCCCACTTAGCAGCAGCAACTGGATCACCCTGCCCAGGGAGTGCCACAGCAGACCTGGGACCTCTGTCTCCCAGGAGTCCTACATCAGACCTGTTAAGCTGCGGACACCGGACCTCCTGGGTGACCACGTGATGGAGCACATGGAGCCACGATGCCCAGATCGGCCTACTGAAGCTGTGCTGCCCAAATGTCACAATGCCGCTAAGACTTGTAGGCAGCTGCAACCACATGGAATCCAGATCACCCATGTTAGGCCGCAGCCACTAAGGAATAAGCAGCCACATGGAGTTGCCGCCAGCATGCTAGAATAGCAACCGCACAAACACAACAAGGCAGTACCCTGACCGTGAACAGGAAACCGCAAAATACACTTTCCACATTGACACACCAGAAAAAACACCCCTGATGCAGATACCCCCATAGGGAGCACCCATGTCATACAGTAAGCACTACAAAAGCACAGGGAAACAGGGAGGCGAGAGCTACCCCTGACCACTCAAGCCCCACCATAGCAAGAGGAGGGCAGGAAGGTTAAAGTACTTATTAGCTGCAGGATCCGGGAAGGGTGCCATCTCCCAGAACAGTACAACAGCAGTTGTGTACTGCTGTTGTAGTACAAACAGTTTTGCTTGATCTCCCAGAACAGGACGCCTCCTGTTGCGGCTGTTGCAGCCGACCCTGCACATATATAAGGTCCTATATGCTCTGCATGCACGCGGAGCTGGAGAGACTACTAGGATCTGAATCATCTTGGCGCCCAGCTCAGCTGTTGATTAAAGGTCTGGAAGACAGATGAGAAAGTAAAAAGAAAAAATGCCCTGCACAAAAGAATAAGAACTAAGATTCCAAGCAGGGAACTTAGGTCCTAACTTCTTGACACTAGGCAAAAACTGAGCTGCCTCTTGCATTTGGGGGGGGGGTATGGCCACTAGCAGGACCTGCCCCTAGGCTGTGCTTTTCTTTTGCGCCTAGTGCCCTACTCCTGATGGTAGCGCTATAACCCATCGGTCAAGATCTGAAGATCTCTGCTGTCTCCTTCAATGAACAGAAGAGAAAATTCTGGAACTGGACGCAATGGTACAAACTAGTCTCATAAAAAACGTTCTGGTCTGAAGATGGCCCTAAGTCTGGTCAGGCAGCAATTATGCACACAAAGTGTGTTTTAGTGTCCTTCTCTCTCCACACAAGTCCATCAGTTTGGTCAGGCAGCAATTCTGCAGAGTGACTGTTTTGCTTTTACTCTCTCCAAACGAGGCCATACATCTAGTCAGGCAGCAGTTTTGTACATTGACTGTAGTTTACTGTTCCTCTTTGTATACAAGAGTCTGTTAGTCTGACCAGGCAGCTATTATGCAAACTGATGTGCTTTACTGTCCCTCACTCTCCACAAAATTCCATCAGTTTGATCAGGCAACAGTTCTGCAGAGTGACTGTGCTTTACTTTCACTCTCTGTCTCTCAACACAAGTCAGTTAGTCTGGTCAGACAGCAATTATTCACCAAACTCGTGCTTCACTGTCTCTCTCTCTCCACACAAGTCGTTGGGTCTGATCAGGCAGCATTTCTACCCAGAGCCTGTCCTTTACTGTCCCTCTCCACCCAAGTGTTTTAATCTGATCAAGCAGCAATTATACACAGACTGTTCATTACTGTCCGCCTCTCTCCACACTTTTCTGTCAACCTAGTTACACAGTAAAGCTGCATTCACACCTATATTGTGGGTGCAATTAGGGATTCCTGCATCAGGAACTTGTGATTTCCTGCATCAGGAATCCCTAATTTGCCATTTACAAGCGACAGTTGTCACCGGTTCAAGTTAATGATCGGGTGATAGTCGAACGCTGGCACACCGCATGTAGATCTTATGTGATATGATGACATGCAGTTAGGAATAGATCACTATACCTGGACACATCAATAGTGCAACACACATGCAACGTGTTGTTGTAGTACATGATGCCATGCTGTGTTAGGGTTGCCAATTCTTTATTTTAAAGGGCTGGCAGTGCTTTACGAAACTGAAAGAACAGACATGAACCTTTTTTTGTGCATTGCAGTGCAGATGCATCGCCCACTTTACTTGCTGTAGTTGGAAGCATCATTCAAAATTTTTAGAACTGCAATAAACAGCAGTTCTTGCATTGTGTGTTTGCTGCAGTAATTAAAGTTTTACCATAATGCATCCGTGTGATGGGCCATAAATCTACAGTAAAAGACTAAAACAGTTTTAGATGTAGTTTTAGCATTTACTGAGTAATTTTAATTATTGCCTGGAGTTGCTATTCAAAGAAGGCTCCCGTCTTCACGACTGTAACTGTAGTGCGCTATAAACAGTTCCTATGTAAGGACATGCTTGGCAGTCTCAGACCTTCCATACAATTAACGGGTTTACAGATAATGCATTCTGGATACTGACAAATTATGAGTCAAAACAAGACTTTACTATTGCAAAACAAGTTAGATAAGCACTTATAGCAGACAAAAAAAAACCCGCCAGGTCAACAGCTCTATAAACAAATACAGGGCAAAACCATACCTTAAATGTGCCATTTTCATTCTTCATATAAGAAACAAGGAAAATGTCCACAGGCAGCAGAGCAGAGGTGATCAGAGCAATAGCGAGTGAACAGATTGCTGTAATCGTTGAAACCACTTCACTTTCTTGACGACTTTGATATTTTCGAACATATATCCAGCAAAAAGCCAAAATAGCCTAAAAAAAAAAAATCAACAAAAAAAAAAAATTACACAAATTACCACTAAATTTCAAAATGACCAGTTGAAAAAAACCAAACACTCAGCTACAAGAATTGGGAAGGATTAGATTGAAAGCATCAAACAATACATATGGCATTTAAAAATGGCTTCATGGTCAGAAACAGTAGGCTTTTCACTATTTTTGTGTCTGGTAAATAGACGTATAAATAAATATGCCCAAAATAAAAACAGTTGTTTTATCCACCACTCTTTTGTAGCATGCATTTAATAACCATAGTTTATACCTGTGGTTTCTTGGATGCGCCAATTCCTATCACAAATACATACATTTTTTATTTTTTTTAAAGGCACTTTTAGTATTTACTTGCTCAAACAGATGGAAACACAACTGCAAAACACACATTAATTTACAACCTGGTTAGCAATTTACAGCCCTCAGCAAAAATAACTTCTAAGGCTGTTGGCCTGAACTCTAAAACATTATCTGAAATCAGCTTGCTGTTAGTAAAAGGTTCTCCCATAAATTCCCATTTTATATTATCTTTGCCAGTGAGTACCTATGCTTTTCTCCTAAAAACCTTCCAGAGTCAAAAGCCTAGAAAAAAACTGCCAGGATAGATAGGAGCTGCTAATGCCAACTTGTTTGACGTTTTAAGCTCTGTCATTCTTTTACTAGCTACACTAACTACAGAGCCACTGACTTGGAATAAGCATGTACATATTAGTTGCCCCAGCACCTGGCATGCAATTGCTTGTTCCAAGTTGGTCACTGTCCAGACACGGATAGAAGGATACAAACACCAGCCTCGAAGCATGTATCTTTAAAAACAAGTCAGCAATGACAGCTCCCTTTTTTTACAGGGTAAAATGAGCAGGATAGTTAGGGGACACAGTAAAGGAAGGTAAAAATCTCTGGGCAAAAATTTATTTTTCCAACATTGCCTTGTTAAAGCGACACAAAACCCTCAGCTTTTTTTCTCCTTATACAAATCTACACAATGAACATTCTCCAAAGCCACGTTTATTTATGTTTTAAAATAAACTCTTACTATTTTAATCCCTTTAGAAAGTCTGCTGTGATCACTCCTGTGTCTCTTATCTCCCCTCACACTTCTTGTCACTTAGTAAGAGCCATGCACGTTGATTCTGGTCACATGGACATCTTTCTTTGACTACAACTGCCAAAAGCCAGATAGGTATCTCTGACTGCACACAGCTGCCTCCTTCCCCCTCACTTTGCTCACAATAGTAAATAAGAAAAGCAAGTGGTGGTCAAATCCTGGGTATTATGTGCCACACCCCTGTTTTGTAATGAAAAAAGGAGCAAGTAAAAGTGGGGCTTTATGGGCACCAAAAAATGACAAGTCACAAAACACTCAAAGATTGGCTAGAAAGTAATTTTATTAGATACATACCGTATTTTTCGCTCCATAAGACGCACTTTTTTCCCCCCAAAAGGAGGGGGAAAATGTGCCTGCGTCTTATGGAGCGAATCCCGACGCCCGAGACATGCAGTTTCGGGCGCCGGGCGAGTAGTAGGAGCCACTGCTCGTTTAATACGAGTGATCTAATGAGATCACTCGTATTAAAGCCGAGCAGCGGCGGCGGCGATCGTATTCAGCAGTAGGAGCCACTGCTTGTTTAATACGAGTGATCTAATGAGATCACTTGTATTAAAACCGAGCAGCGGTGACGATGGAGATCACCATAGAGTAGACGAAGAATGGACTTTCTTCGTCTGCCCTGTGTGATCACTGAGACCGTGGCGCTGTAATCACAGCGCCACCTGTCTCAGCGGTCACTAACTGCAGCTTCTGTCACAGCTTCTGTCATAGAAGCTGTGTCAGAATCTACAGTCTGTCGAGTGCTCCATAAGGCGCGCCGGACCTCCCTGCGTCCTATGGTCCGGTGCGTTTTATGGACCGCAAAATACGGTAATTAAAATTAATAGAAAACGACCGTAATAAAAATGCTGGACTAAATGCCTCCGATATCCACTCTGTATCAAGGTTTAGATGTTTTGAACATGATTACATTAGCATATTACATAATTCAATTGATAAATACCGTATGAGTATGATACATCAATTAAAGAACGATTAAATATCAATAATTCAGATCTTAACTGAGGCCCAAGGAGTGGATAGTATGGAATATTCAAAGCGTTTCATCAGGAGGGGAGGCAATCAGCCCCAAGCAGAGCCAAATGGACACATGCGCAATGTGGTGACCGATAGCCAAAGAAAACAGGTGCCCCCAGATCGTGGGAAAGGAGACCAGGACCGCAGCGGCTGGATGTAGAGGGGTACTTTATTAATGTCAATATGTTAGGATGAAAATAAGAGCCTCAGAATCACCGGTTCATCTGACTTCCAATGGTGAGAAGGATTCCCAAAGCAGCAGCAGGGGGAAAGGACGAATGGCACCCCAATTCCGCACGGTCCTCAGAGCAAAATTCCAGCTCCTTACAGAGTCTTGGGTGGAGGATTTGTGAGCGGAGACTGAGACAATACGGATACAGAAAGTTCCATTAAGGAAGCCGGTGGCATGTAATGACTCGCTGCCCAGCTTCCTGATTAGGCCAATCAGGAACCCGGAGGGAGGGTAAAAACTTGCCGCCCAGCTTCCTATTTAGTTAGGAAAGCTGCCCAATCAGGAAGCCAGACAGCGAGTCATTACACTGACTGACTGGAGATTGACTACTGAAGACTGAAAGAAGGTCTTAAAGGATGGTTCCTCGGTGTGCGACACCAACTGTAGGAAATGGAGGAAGAAGGGTGATGGTCTGGGGCTCTTTTGCTGGATCCAGCGTCGGTGACTTGCACAGAGTGAGTGGCACCCTGAACCAAAACTACCACCATTTTGCATTGCCATGCAATACCCTCTGGTGTATTCTCAGCAAGATAATGACCCAAAACATACCTCCAGGCTGTGTCAGGACTACCTTAGAAGAAAAGAACAAGATGTTAGGCTTCTAATCATGGAATGTCCAGCACAGTCTCCAGACTTAAAACACCATCAAGCTGGTTTGGGATTAAATAGACAGAAGGGTGAAATAAAAGCAAACTACAAGTGCAACACATTTGTGGAAACTTCTGCAAAAGTGTTTCCAAACAATATTTGATTTCCGTTCTACAAAGAACGCCACAAGTATTATACTATATATTTTATACTCAAAAGAAAAGTATAATCACAATGTGCAATTCTGTCGCTCCCTTCCGTGTCACAAAAGCCTACGCCCTCCTCCATGTCTGTTGTATACACTCGGGGAAGAGCAGACTCAAACTATAAGGCTGGGTTCACACCTGGGCGTTACTATAGGCGCGTTTTTAGCACGCTTTTTAGTTCAGTGAAACGCATGTTCGACGCTTGTTTGTATACCTCCCTGGCAGTATGATTTATTTTTATCTCTATCGTTTTTTTAAACTTTCACACTTCCCGCCGGTTCAGCCCCCCTGCGACGCGGACGCTCGCAAGGGACGGAACCCGGAAGACGGCAGCTGCCGGAGGACACATTAGGGATCACAGACAAGGTAAGACATACGCTGTATTCCCGAGTGTGGCTCGGGGTTACCGCTTTGTTAACCCCGAGCCACACTGGGAAATACCAATTGATACGCGCGGAAATCCGCTCCCAAAAAAAGCTCCTGTACTTGTTCGGGCGTAGGGCGTTTTTCAGCGCGTTTCTACGTGCTAAAATACGCTAAGGTGGGAACTATGCCCATAGGAAATTATGGGATTGCACTTGTTGAGTGATTTTTAGCGCTTCGATCAGCACTGAAAAACGCCCAGGTGTGAACCCAGCCTAATACTCTTCTTATGCTTTGAAGTTACCCTGTCGGGAGATCAACAAAAAAAGAAAACAAAAACCTGTGAAAAAGCACAATACATGCTTGTCCATTAGCCCGTTTGCTAAAACTTCGTTCAGTAGCAAAGTACCCAGAACTCATTTGATTCGACTTCTCAGGCTGGTCTCATAGCTGTTCCCCCACTGGCCACTGTGGTTCCGCCTGTTGACTCCTAGTCAATGTCAGACATAGTGCTATTTTTATTTTGTTGACTCCTTAACAGGGTCACTTTTAGGCTGGGTTCACACCTCTGGCACTCTGTCCAGCATGCTGAGATGACATTCATTTAGAATAGCACTTCAACAGATGTGTACAGAAGGTGCCAATGGCCCTAAGCAGCACATTACAACACACATACTGTGAGTTGCTGTGTGCTGTTTTTATTAAAATAAAATGTGCAGTGGTTTGGGTCTGTTGTTTCGCGTTGGCAATGGGCTGCTTATTGCAACATACATTAATGCCCGGGCAGTAACACAATGGACCAGCCTAGTGTGAAAGGGGACCTGAAAATCTTACAAATTTCTGGCAGCGGGTGGGCGTCTTTAAACGTGCCCGTTCCCCCTGGCGCGCATAAGCGAGAAACTGCTAGAAGTTGAAACAGCCAGCAATGGTTGTTCACATACAAGCAGTCTGGCCTCTGTAAAGATGCCCGATCGCTTGTATGATACACCTCTCTGTAACCCCACCTCTCCTCACCGTCCCGGGGCATCCGATCGGGGACCGGCAGTGTGGCTCCGTGCAGGGACAACGGAGGAAAGTACAAAAGTCAGAGAGAAGCTGGTGAAGCGGAGCTCTGCTTCATCAGATTCTTTTGGGGTCCCTAGGTGACATTAGGGGTCTTAGAGACCCCTGATGTCTCCATAAAGAGGACCTGTCACTGTAATTTGATATCACATAGGGGGATTCTTAGTCCCCTATGCGATAACAATAAAGTTGGGTGTAAAAAAAAATGGTCACAAAATAAATACAAATTTACAAAAACACACAAAAAAAACTCCACACAAAATGTTTATAAAGTCCCCCACCCCCACAGAGATGTTCAAAAATGTGATAAGTGCGCCTACACGAGTGAGCCCATTACGCTGCACTTGTTACATATCATCGTGGACATCAGAGTGTGAGTAATTTTAGGGCCATCAATCACTGT